CAGGGAGCCTGATGCGGGACTCGATCCCGGGACTCCAGGATCATGACCTGAGCTGAAGGCAGTCGCTTAACCAACTGAGCCACCCAGGCGCCCGGAAGGGAGTGTTATTGCCCCATTTTACAGATGAGGAAACTATAGTAGTAAGGGTAGCAGCAGTGGCAGCGACAGTTGCCTGGCAGGATGTTGCCTACTCCAGGAAGCCCTCCAGGATTCCCCAGGCTGTGCGGTGCTCCATCTTTGCTGCAATGTCAAGGAGGTCTCCCTCTCTGCTTCCCCTGCTCCTCAAGAGTCAGGCCCTTGTCCGGTTCATTCCTGTGTCCCCCAGCACGTAATTAGTGCTCCCCAAAATGCAGCGGCTGGTACTGAGCCTCGCGTGGCTAACCCTCGTGGGTCCTGTCTGTCCCCGTGCCCATTGGGCTGCAGGAGGACAGCGCGGACCTGAAGTGCCAGCTGCACTTTGCAAAGGAGGAGTCAGCCCTCATGTGCAAGAAGCTCACCAAGCTCGCCAAGGAGAACGACAGCATGAAAGAGGAGCTGCTCAAGTACCGCTCGCTCTACGGCGATCTGGACAGCGCCCTGTCCGCCGAGGAGCTGGCCGATGCGCCCCACTCCCGGGAGACCGAGCTGAAGGTGCACCTGAAGCTGGTGGAGGAGGAAGCCAACCTGCTGAGCCGCCGCATCGTGGAGCTGGAGGTGGAAAACCGAGGCCTGCGGGCGGAGATGGATGACATGAAGGATCACGGCGGCGGAGGCGGAGGCGGCGGTGGCGCGGAGGCGCGCCTGGCCTTCTCGGCGCTGGGGGGCGGCGAGTGCGGGGAAAGCCTGGCGGAGCTGCGGCGACACCTGCAGTTTGTGGAGGAGGAGGCTGAGCTGCTCCGGCGCTCCTCGGCAGAGTTGGAGGAGCAGAACAAGCTGCTGCTCACCGAGCTGGCCAAGTACCGCTCGGAGCACGAGCTGGACGTGACGCTGTCGGAGGACAGCTGCTCCGTGCTCAGCGAGCCCTCGCAGGAGGAGCTGACAGCCGCCAAGCTGCAGATCGGCGAGCTCAGCGGCAAGGTCAAGAAGCTGCAGTACGAGAACCGGGTGCTGCTCTCCAACCTCCAGCGCTGTGATCTTGCCTCCTGCCAGAGCACGCGTCCCATGCTGGAGACGGACGCCGAGGCCGGGGACTCTGCCCAGTGTGTGCCCGCGGCTCTTGGCGAGGCCCACGGCCCCCACGCTGCCCGGCTCTGCAGAGCCAGGGAGGCCGAGGCGCTGCCTGGGCTGAGGGAGCAGGCCGCCCTGGTCAGCAAGGCCATCGATGTCCTGGTAGCCGACGCCAACGGCTTCTCGGCCGGCCTCCGCCTGTACCTGGACAACGAGTGTGCTGACTTTCGGCTGCATGAGGCCCCTGACAACAGCGAGGGTCCCAGGGACACCAAGCTCATCCATGCCATCCTGGTGCGGCTGAGCATGCTCCAGCAGGAGCTCAATGCCTTCACGCGGAAGGCGGACGCCGTGGTCGGGAGCTCTGCCAAGGAGCAGCCAGAGCCCTTCCCCGCGCTGCCTGCCTTGGGCTCCCAGGGGCCCTCCAAGGAGATTCTTTTGGCCAAAGACCTTGGCTCAGACTTCCAGGTAAGATGTCCCAGTCACGGGCCCTGTTACTTTTCTTGTTAGAAACTTTTCACCAAATCACACATAGGACAGAGAAGCACACAGCCCACGAGTGTACGGCTGAGTGAGTTTTCCCGAGGGGAGCACGATGGTGTCATCACCACCCAGAACATGACCATGTCATCATCACAGCATGCCCTTTGAAGTCTTTCTCTACATAGCCTCTCGTGGACTTGTTTTTCACCCAGCTTGTTTTATGTGATACCTGCTGTTACCACACAACTGATTTTTCTTGTGTAACGTGTCTAGTGGTTCATGCGCTTAACACTGCTGTATGTATTGTTTGTATGCTTTTTGTGCTTGGTGCTGGAGCAAAACCAGACCTGATTCCTGCCCTCCGGGGAAGAAAGATGTTAATCAAAATATCAGGCCACTGAATGACACTGAATGACAAACGGATATGAGAGCTCTCAGGGAAGGGCACTTGGTTCTGTGAACAAGCAACTTGACCTCATCTCTGGGTCAAGGAAGGCCTCTGATCTGAGCTGAGATCAGAAGGGTAGATTAACAGGGAAAGAGTGTTGTAAGCAGAGGGAATAGCCCATGAGAAGGCATCATAGCTGGAAGGAGCATGGCGTGCCCAAGGACAAAGGGAAGGAGGGTGGCTGGGTTGCAGGGAGCATCTTCATCCGGAGAACAATGGGAGGGGTCTTCCCATGTCTGTACAGAGATTTAGCTCTTTCTTTTCGACAACTACACGGTGTAGTTGTGCCGTAATTTCTGTGCCCTGCTGATCTGGCTTGATCTTGCTTTTCTAAGCAGGCAGACACCCCTCCCCCCCATGTTAAGTCTCCCCCTTGGTTCTTCTTGAGGTAGGAATGAGCTGGGGCCATACATGTGGTAGGACCATTGAGCCTGGCTCAGAAGGTTTGTGCACAAGACAGACATACACAGGATCAGGGTTTTCACTCACCACCTAGCTACTCGTTCATCCTTTCGACAGACACTCACTGAGTAGTTGGAGGCCTAGGTCTGGGCTGCAGAGATGAATCCACTGAGGCCCCAGCCCTCAAGTGGGTGGTCAGAGCCTCTTTTAGAGCCCAGGGCCTAGGGTGGGGGCTGCTTCTGGCACCCCCTGGGCCCCTCCCCATAGTTACCTTTGCTCTCTTCTGCCTGTGCCTCTGGGTGCAGCCGCCTGACTTCAGGGATCTGCCGGAATGGGAGCCCAGGATACGAGAGCCCTTCCGCAGTGGTGACTTGGACTCCAAGCCTGACCCCGGCCGGAACTTCAGGCCTTACCGAGCCGAAGACAATGATTCCTACGCCTCTGAGGTGGGCCTAGGCCTGATCGAGCGAGGGGGAGGGCAGGAGGAGAATGGCTGGGGCCTCCCAGAGGCTGGGCGATCCGTGGAGAAGCTTAGCTGGTGATGATGTGGGTTTTGAGTATTCCATTTGGTTCCATGCTTCCTGGCAACGAGGACTAAAAGGGAGACAAGGAAGTTTGGACCCTTCTCTTGGCCTGATAAAAGGAAGCTTATAAACTCATTTGAAGAAATGGATTTTGTTTTGCTATACTAAATTTCACTGGGAATTTAATAATTTATGTCATTTAATGAAACCACTCATTTCTTTAGCAGGAGCACAGCAATCTTTACAGTCAGGCTGATTGGGTTCAAATTGTGGAACTGCTATATACTGGCTGTGAGATTGTAGACAAGTCACTTGACCTCTCTGATCTCCATTTTCTCACCTTTACAATAAAGGTGATCCCTCAGAGGGCTGTTGAAAGGATTAAATGCATGAAAAGCCTTATTAAAGCCTGGTCCCTGTTGGGTGAGGAGGAGGAGGAAGATGACACATCTCAGGGCCTCAGGGGACCCACCAGTGTGGCTTTGTGGCCTTAGGCATGTTCCCATTCTCCGGCTGCACCTTCCCCATTTGTAACATGGGAGGATTCAAGTGGGTAGAGGCTGTAGAATTTCAAGGATTCCCTGGTCCTTGAGAATTCCTGGTGGTTCTGAGCCCCTCCCAAGCCTTTTGAGTCTCTACCAGCACTTCCTAACAAACCTGAAGTAGGAAAAGGCTCCTGTGGATGGGATGGAGCCTCCTTGAGGCTCCTGAGCCACGGAGAACCTTGTGTGTACCCCAACCTAAGCAGCCTTTTCTTCTGAATATCCATGGGAAGGCAATTTTGTGGTTCCAGGAAGGCCAGTCTGCAAGTGCCCAGGGGAAGAAGCTCCCTGGAAGCTGATGGATCAAACTCTCTTAAGTGGACTGAGCTTCCTAGCAGCCATGGCAAAAAGGGAAAAAAAAAAAAAACACAACATGAAGTATTTAGTTCTCATTTTCTGAGAAAAGGAGATAGGCCAGCTCACCTGCATGCATTCAATTATTATTTCATTCAGCCATTCTTTACTGAGCAGTTATAATTTGCCAGACTCTGTGTTAGGCACCGAGTCCAAGGAGAACACCAGAGGTAGCTGGGAGTATCCAGCCCTGAAAGGATCTTTAATATAAAATAGGCATACAAGATATACCTTAAGTCAGAATGCCTTCCATTGCCAAGTTTCCATATTATTGGCTAGATAATAAATGGTTTTTTTTTTTCACAGAGGGACATCTTGCTGTGCCTGGGAAGGTTTGATGTAGGAGTGGCAGATGACATTTCTTTTTTTTTTTTTTCCTGCTTAACATGACAGCATAAACATTTCCCTCTGTTACTAGAAATACTTAAAAAAAATTTAAATTGAAGTATAACATGCATAGAAAAGCACTTGTAAGTGGACAGATCAAATGACTTTTACAAACTGAACACTCCTATGTAATCAGCGAGCACATTAATAAACAGAGCCTGACCTATCCTTGAAGCCTCCCTTCTGGTCCCCGTCCAGTCGTCATCCTGACTTCTAACAGAATACATTAGTTTTCCCTGTTTAGCTACAAATACTTATAAACACAATTTCCCCTCAATGCATATAGAGTTTTACTGTCTTTTTCTTAAGATTTTATTATGTAGACCTCATAAGCAACAAATAACTACAGCAAAATCCCTAAGCAGCATTGCATAAAGATATAAAGAAGGAAGTCAAGATCACGAGCTTGTCAGTTAACCACTGTTCACATTTAAGTGTGTGTGTCCATGTCCCTTCTGTTTTTCTATTGAGGTATATATCTTTTCTAATTTTTTATTGAAGTATAACATAATAATATACATGCAATAAAGGACACTATCCTTAAGTGTACAGTTGAATGGACTTTTATGCATGTATAGACCTGTTAACCACATCTATTAATCCCTTTATTTATCCAAGTTGTTTCTAAATTTTTGTAATTATAAACAATGAGACAACAAACATCTTTGTGAATCAAGCTTAGCTTTCTCAGTATGTTATTTTCTTCAAATGCATTTCAAAGAGAGAAATTACCAAGGTGAAATTATAATAATAGCTAAATTTGATGTGCACTGTTTTGTTTGTCATGACAACCCCCTGAAGTAGGGTCAGCCACTGTGCCTCATTTGTATTCCAGGGACAGCTTGGACCCCACTTAACTCTCATCCTCTGACCACAGCTCTATCCCCCCTCTCCCCCCCGCTCTCTCCCTCTGTGTCCCTCATCCCTATCCCAGATCAAAGAGCTGCAGTTGGTGCTGGCCGAGGCCCACGACAGCCTCCGGGGCCTGCAAGAGCAGCTCTCCCAGGAGCGGCAGCTACGGAAGGAGGAGGCCGAAAACTTCAACCAGAAAATGGTCCAGGTGGGTGATGCCTGGTGCCCCCCCCCGCACCGGCTCCAACTTCTCTTCCCTGAACAGAAAGCAGAAACCTTAGGGCTCCACGGGTCTTCAGAAGGCAAGGGTATCGGGAAACTTGAGTCTTCTGGCCCTAGCTATACTTGATGGTGCATTAGCTCTACTGGGGTGGAATCCTGGGCTTGTCATTGACTGCCTGTGTGACCTCAGGCCAATCCTGTCTCCTCTCTGGGCCTCCTTTTCCCAACTATACAGGTGAAAACCTGTACAGAAAGGCCAGAGGTCTGGCTGCTAATCCAGGCTGGTAGTCCTGCTAATAGAAAGCATGTATTGAGCCCTTACTGTATGTCAGGGCTGTGCAATGCTCTTTTCACACATTATGTCCTTTAGTCCTCAGGATTTCCCCTGAGGTGTCCCCATTTTAAAGATGGGAAGACTGATGCCCAGGGAGCTGAAGCAGGTGGCCCAGGTTGCACCTTCAGGGCGAGATTCTAATCCCAGTCTCTGCTCTCTCAGTCATGACATTGCATTCCTTCCTCGGGATTTGCATCTTCTCTCTCCTGGTGTGCCCTTTGCCCTTGACATGGGTCACCCGTTCCTACCGTCATTGTTCACCCTCCTAGGTTCCTTATCAGATGTGAGAGTTCCCGTGAAACTTTGGCAGCCAGTATGTGCTCATTATGTGATGTCATGGTTTTTATAATGAGGCAGAGTCGGGTTCAAATTCCACTTCTCAATGATCCATAACTGTGATTGTTGTTCCTTTTATGAATTTCTCTTCCCTGGAGTTTATCTCAACAGAATGAGCTGATATTGGTAGAGTCCCTGGCAGGGATCACCAAGAGGCACCTCCCGAGCTTTCGTCTCTGTCTTTATCTGAGGCCTGGAACTGGAAAAGGTAGTGCTGGGAAGACAGCTGGGGGTGCTCACACTCTTGTCCCCCTCCCAGCTGAAGGAGGACCAGCAGAGGGCGCTCCTGAGGCGGGAGTTTGAGCTGCAGAGTCTGAGCCTCCAGCGAAGGCTGGAGCAGAAGTTCTGGAGCCAGGAGAAGAACATGCTGGTGCAGGAGTCCCAGCAGTTCAAGCACAACTTCCTGCTGCTCTTCATGAAGCTCAGGTGGTTCCTCAAGCGTTGGCGGCAGGGCAAGATTTTGCCCAGCGAGGGGGATGACTTCCTTGAGGTATGGTTCCCCTGGGGCTGGGACTAGGGCAGGGGTGGGGTGGGGAAGATTGGACTAGAGGGACACCCAAGTGGCATTGACACAGCCCTGAGGCTCATCTCCAAGCCATCAGCTTGCAGGCTTCCATCCTGCATTCATTCACTCATTCAGCATCAGCTTATTGAGAACCAGCTCTTTACTGGACGCTGTGGCAGGCGCTGGGGATACTGTGATGAAGGCAGACTTGGTCCCTCCCCAAAGAGAGCTGATAGGTCTTTAACACCTCTCTAATATTTGTTCATTTCCCTTTTTACCTAGGTAAATTTAATAATCTAGTTTTGTTACTATTGCATTACATGCCAATATAGTACATATTCTTTTTTGTTCTTTTAAGGTATACATTGCATAGAGTAAAGTGCACACATCTTACGTGTACAGCTGATGAAGTTTTGTCATGTACATCTGTATAGTCCCTGCCCAGCTCACAACAGAGCACATTTCCAGTGCCCCCAAAGGATCCCTGCTTCTAGTCAATATGCCCACCCCAGCTGTCAGCACTGTTCTGATTTCTTATGCCATGGATTAATTTTGCCTATTCTAGAACTTCATATAAGTGCATGTAGTCTTTTGTGTCTGGCTTCTTTTGCTTAATATAATTTTTTGAGATCCATCCACGTTTTACATATAAAAGTAGTCATTGTTGCTTTTTGGTGGCCCATATCGGGAACAACCCAGGACATATTTTTGATTGCTGTTTATTTTTGACTTATGAATATACCTATTTTATTTTAATTAACTAATTAATTAATTTAAATAGGCTCCACGCTGGAAACCAAGTGTCAGACCCTTAACCGACAGAGCCACCCAGGCACCCCTCCTTTTTTTTTTTTATAGTGAGAATACTTAAGATCTACTCTCTTAGCAAATTTCAAGTATACAATACAGTATTGCTAACTGTAGTCACCATGCTGTACATAGATCTCCAGAACTTATTCATCCTGCATAACTGAAACTTTGTACCCTTTGACCAGCATCTCCCCACCCCCACCCCCCACCCCCGCTTCCCTGCCCGTGGCAACCACTGTTCTGCTCCCTGCTTGTATGAGTTTGGCTTTTTTTCCATTCCACATGTAAGTGAGATCTTGCAGTATTTGTCTTTCTGTATCTGGCTATTTCACTTATTTCACAACCATCCATGTTGTCAAAACTGGCAGAATTTTCTTCTTTTTTATGGCTGAATAATATTCCATTGTATATATACACATTTTCTTTATTCATTCATTTGTGAACACTTATGTCATTTCCATATCTTGGCTATCGTGAATAATGGTGCAACGAACATGGGCCTGCAGATAGCTCCTTGAGATCCAGATTTCATTTCCTTTGGATATGTACCCAGAAGTGGGATTGCTGGTTCATATGGTAGTTTTATTTTTAATATTTTGGGGAACCACCATATTGATTTGTTTCTTTTTAACCACTATTTTGATTTTACCTGAAGCCCAGTTGTGGCTGCTAAGTTGGATGTTCCCCTACACCCTCCAAAGTGAATTGGAGGCCACATAGCCTATATTTTAAGTCAGTTTGTCTCAGGCAAATTCTCCATATTTGGTATAAATCTTTCTAGCTATTTCCATGTACTGGAGTAACAGAAACAGAAACTTAATTTGGAAGAAAAAAAAAGTAAGCATAGAAAATTAAATAATATATGTGCCTATAATTAATAGAAATACATTTACTGAAATAGACATAATTAATAAGATATAAACATAACTAGGGTGCCTGGGTGGCTCAGTTGGTTAAGTGTCTGCCTTTGGCTCAGGTCATGATCTCGGGGTCCTAGGATTGAGCCCCATGTCAGGCTCCCTGCTCACTGGGGAGTCTGCTTGTCCCTCTCCCTCTGACCCTCCCCATCCCCGCTCATGCTCTCTCTCTCTCTCAAATAAATAAAATCTTTAGGGGCGCCTGGGTGGCTCAGTCGTTAAGCATCTACCTTCGGCTCAGGTCGTGATCCTAGGGTCCTGGCATCGAGCCCCGCGTCAGGCTCCCTGCTCCGCAGGAAGCCTGCTTCTCCCTCTCTCACTCCCCCTGCTTGTGTTCCCTCTCTCGCTGTGTCTCTTTTTGTCATATAAATAAATAAAATCTAAAAAAAAATAAAAATGAAATCTTTTTAAAAAAGATATAAACATAACCACATATATTGTCAAAATAGATATATATGTGTATATTAATATGATATATGCACATACATAAAGCTATATAAATAATAAACTTGGGGGCAACCGCCTCGGGTCCCCTCCCTCCTTGGGAGGTTTGTACTATCGCTTTGCTATCGCTCAATAAACCTTGCTTTGCTGCCAAAAAAAATAATAAATAAAGTAAGCTTGGTATACATTCATACTCTCAAAGAATATATGTCCATCCCTGCAGAATTATATGTGTGAAATGCTACTATGCATGTGAATGATAAAAAAAAAAACCCTCAGGCATTGAGTATGGTGTTCCAGATACTGTTTTAAATACTTCAGGTGAATTACTGCATTTCATCTTTACAAATATGCTATGAAATGTAGATAGCTATTATTCCCATTCTACTGCAGATAAAGATCTTTGATTCCCTGGGCGCCTGGGTGGCTCAGTTGGTTAAGCGACTGCCTTCGGCTCAGGTCATGATCCTGGAGTCCCGGGATCAAGGTCCGCATCGGGCTCCCTGCTCGGCGGGGAGTCTGCTTCTCCCTCTGACCCTTCCCCCTCTCATGCTCTCTCTCTATCTCATTCTCTCTCTCAAATAAATAAATAAATAAATAATCTTTAAAAAAAAAAAAGATCTTTGATTCCCTGCCTCAGTTCTGAAATCCAGAAGCTCTGAGAGCTGTGTTTGGTTATATCTAACTCAGTTGGAAAAGATTGGCCTGACATTCATTGGGCAGCAGAACCTTTATTTATCCCATTTCCTGTTAATATTCCTATGTTTGTAGGGGAATCATGAGTGTGGTAGAGCGTAGGGTGTTCACCAGGCCCTGCTGGGGCAGTGGTACAGTGTGGGTACCACATTGTCTTTCTAAATCCCTGTGCATCCTGAATTCCGAGCACACCCGGCCCCAGGGATTTTGGAGAAAGAATCGCGCACCTGTGTCTACAGACAACCATAGTCTGTATGTTCAGACACTCGTGACCAGAGCCAGAATTGGGATGTTTATTCAGGCAGGCCCTGCCCTGCATGCCCCCCGCCCCCCACCCCATACTTCCCAGCCTCGGTGCCCGTGTTGACATTAGAAAACCTTCTTCATTTGGTTTCTAGAACATCACACTCTCTCGGGTTTCCGTCCACCTCACTGGTTGCTCTTTCTCGGTCTCCTTGGCTGGACCCTCCTTTTCTCCCTGCCCGCTCTTAACGTCAGAGTCCCCAAGGCTCAGCCCTTGGGCTACGTCTCTCCCGTAACTCCACCTGCTCCCTTGGGGAGCCTGTCCAGGTACATGGCTTAAATGGCCTTTCTTGCACCTTGTGACTCTATCCAGACTCTGTCTAGAGGCTGACCCAGCCGCTCTGCGCTCCTTCCCGGCTGAGCCACCGTCACTTCTTGCTTGGATTTTCACTGCAGGTTTCTTACCTGGCCTCCCTGCTCTGCTCTTGCACCTTTCCACCAAGCATCTTGCATTCAGAAGGGTACGAGGAGGTACCCCAGGCGGCATGTATTGCACATGGATGGCATCCCCCGGAGTTTTGTGACAGGGGGTTCTGTTGCTGCCCAGTAAGCTCAGCAGCTGCAGTGATCTCGTGAAACCTCACGTCAGGTGGGCGTCCCTCCTGGCTCCCATTTCACCCAGAGCAGAAGCCGAAGTCCCTACAAGTCCTGGGCCTGGGCGACCAGCCTTGTTCCCCGTACCTCTCTCACTTTCTCCCTGGCTCTCCTGCTTCCCTCACACAGACATGTTCCCACCTCAGGACCTTGGTATTTGCTGTGCCCTTTCCCCAGAATTCTCAACCTGCAGGGAGGCCCTCCTTGACTACCCACATGCAGCACACCCCAGCTCCTTGGCTTGCTCTTATTCCCTGGGGCTCTTCACTGTGTGACATTCTAGACATTTAATGCCATTTCATTACATTTCACTTATTTGTTTGTTTTCCTGCTACTGGAATGGAAGTTAAAGGGGACAAGGGTTTTTGTCTGTCTTGCTCACTGGTGTATCTCCAGCTCCAGACACAGGGCCTGGTGCATGTTAGGTTTTCAGTAACTCTTTGTTAAGTGAATGATGAATGAGTGCCCCAGTCAGAAGCTAGCTTCCTTCTGCTTCATTCCCAGCCTGAACTAGTACCCTGGTTTCCTTGGCTGGCTCTGGACTTCTAAGCAGAATCCATCAGCAGCAAAGCCCCTCCTAGGAAGATTCCCTCTGTCCACCCCAACCTTTGGTTGCCTTTTCTATAATTATGGGGGTGCCCATGGCCCTTTTATTCCACCCACAGGGTCTACCTGTGGACCCAGCCTGTCAACATGGTTATTTCTGAGTAGCTCTCCAGGATGCCTCATGGCCCTTGGGGCAGAAGAGGTTGTATGGGAGGACAGAAGGGCCTGCCTTTCCAGCTGTACTCCTAGGCCTTGATGGTGCCCAGGAGCCAAAGTTAAAAGGGAAATCAGTGTCCAACTAGAGTGCCTTTGATCCATCCTGGACCACCAAACCCATTCTTTCTTCCTGCCTGGCTGTGTTGTACCCTTTCCATCTGGGCCGCTAGCCTGAATCCCCTCTCCTGATGGTCAGACTCCCAAGCATGACACCCTTCCGGCCCCCGTTGAATGTGGCTTTTTAAAAATAGGTAAATAGCATGAAGGAGCTGTACCTGCTAATGGAGGAAGAGGAATTAAATGCCCAGCATTCAGATAACAAGACCTGTGCAGGGGACAGCTGGACCCAAAACACGGTGCGTTCCCAGCCCCTTCCCAGTCCTGTCCTGCCCGTGCTTCCTCTGTCTGTTTAGTGATCACTTCCTGCCACCTTCCCTGACCTGTTTTGCATGGGGCACTGGAGCTGCAGAGGGTCATTACTTGGTTACTGGCCCCAGATGCTGAGTGCTGTGGGGTTCAGAAGTTATCCAGGGGCAGTGACAGCTGAGGGACTGCGTGGTCACATGCAGAAGAGCAGTTAATTGTCTGGAGTGTAGGGGACAGTGTCACAGAGAAGGGGTAAGGGTGGTGGGTTTCGAAAGATGAATGGGAGCTTGCATAATAGAGAGTGGGGAAAAGGCCCTTTGGACCTAGAGAACTGTGTGTGCAGAGGTGTGGCAGGGTATTCTGGGATTGGCTGTGGCTTGGGATGTACATAGTGGGGGTAAGGACATCAAGTTGGGGTCGTATGAAGAGAGGCCTTGTGGTCTGACCCCCAAATCAAGCCATGGGGCAGAGAGAGCAATGGGGACAGGCTCCCAGGGTCATACACAGTGAGCTTGGGTAGGTGGGAAACAGGTCATGGGCCAAGGAGAGAAGATGGGGACTGAGTCAGGCAGTCAGGGAGGCCGCATAGTTGGGATTCCCCATGTGGCCCACAGTGCGTCAGAGAGGCACATCTTGGGCAAGGACAAAGACCCAGGGCCTAGAGTCTGCAGAAGCTTGAAGAAGCCAGGGCCCATCTCACATTTAGGCTGAATAATAATTGCTGTGACCTCAGGGTTTTTTTGTTCATGTGAGGCTGGGGCACATGTCAACCTAGGAGGTGGCCAGGCCCGGGTTTGGCTGGGTGAGATGACCTGGGGGTCATGGGGTTTGCTCGAGACTGGGTAGAGTCCCAGGCTGGACTCTGGGTGAGTGCTCCCAGCCCAGCTCCCCTTCCCCCCCCCAAAGGTCCTGACCCAGGCCTTGCCCCCATCTGCAGCCCAACGAGTATATCAAGACACTGGCCGACATGAAGGTGACGCTGAAGGAGCTGTGCTGGCTGCTTCGGGATGAACGCCGTGGTCTAACCGAGCTCCAGCAGCAGTTTGCCAAGGCCAAGGCCACCTGGGAGACGGAGCGGGCAGAGTTGAAGAGCCATACTGCCCAGGTGAGGCCCCTACCTGTCAGAGACATTTCCCCCCTTGTGCCTCCCTCATCTAAGCCCTCACAGCTGTCAGATCTGGGAGCATGATGCCCAAGCCATGCTCCTAAGAAGCATAGGAACCCCTTTACCTCCTCTTTTGACCCAGAGAGGGCAAGAGATTTACCTTGAGGCACACAGCAAGGGTACCACAAACACTGGGGACTGGGAGTCACTGGGCCCAGGAAGGAAAGTGAAGGCAGATGGGCACAGGACATCATTGGCACATCTGCTGCACCCTGGGTTCAGGGGTGAAGCCAGATGCTTAAATGCCTGTCTGCACCTGGTGACATCCTTCACGCGCATAGCCAGGCTTCTGCTGCCTGCTCTCCTCATTCGCTCCCCCCGCCCATAAGGATCCCCTTCGTCCCTTGCTCCCTGGCTTTGTTTTACTCCTTCCACACAAACTGGGAGACTCCCCTCCCCACAACCCAGTGTGACCACAGGAGCCTAACCAGGAGCCCTGGAGCTGTGGTCTCTGCTGTGTGCCCGGAGGCAAGTTGCTGCCCTCCTCTGGTGTGAAAAGTGAGAGGGTGGGTTTCCTCCCACTCAGAGAGAATGCCCTGACCATCACCACCAACCCCACCTGCCACGACTCTTCAGGTCCCAGCTTCCTCCAGGTCTGCCCTTGCTGTAGGCTGCCTTCCTGGGCATCATGGGCCCCGTGGGGATGTGTACACTGATGGTCACTGCTGGACAAGTAACAAAACCAGCACAGAAGGGTTAAGTTTCTTTCCCAAGGTCACCCAGCTAGTAAGTAGCAGATCTGACTTTTGCTCCCCAAACCTCTGCCCCTCCTGGCTTCTCATTACCACAAACCCAGCCTTCTTCCCAGTGCTCACAGACTTCTGGCTTCCCTGTCACCCTCTTTTCCTCTGACTGTTCCTGCTGCTCCCCAAACCCAGACATTCCAGGTGCCCTACCCGCTGGGAGGCTGATCGGCCCCTGTGGGGGCTAATATACCAGACCACAGCCTGGGGGATCTGGGGCACACTGATGCTTGAGGCTGCATGTTTACGTCCTGCCACCCCGAGGCTCGGTGGTGTGAAGGTCGTCATACTGGACTGATTCACACATTCATTATGTGACTGTGGGTGCGTACCCCCCCAACCATAAACCCAGACCACTTGGGAGAGTTGATAAAATATGAGAAGCAACAACTAGGAAACTCTGCCATTTTGTAGCTGCATGACCTGGGACAAATAACGTAACTTCTTCGAACCTTTTTCTCTGCAAAATATCGTAAAAGGTAGCTGTCTTGCTGAGATTTCACAAGGATGCTGAGATAATGCTTGAGCAAGGCCTGGCTGTGAGGAGGGCTTAGTTCTGCATGGGGTAGTGAGCAGGTGAGGGGTCTTCAGAGCAGAGCTCTCCCCCCGCCACCCCCTACGGGTGCCTGAGAGGGAAGGGCGGCCAGGGGGCCAGAGAGGAAGGGTCTCCTGGTGCCAGCCACCCAGTTTGCTCTTCCTTGTGCTGCAGATGGAGCTGAAGGCTGGCAAGGGGGCTGGGGAGCGGGCAGCCCTGCAGCGGGAGCGTGAGGAGCAGCAGCACCTGCTGGCTGAGTCCTACAGCGCCGTCATGGAGCTGACGCGGCAGCTGCAGATCAGTGAGCGCAACTGGAGCCAGGAGAAGCTGCAGCTGGTGGAGCGGCTTCAGGGTGAGAAGCAGCAGGTGGAGCAGCAGGTGAAGGAGCTGCAGAACCGCCTGAGCCAGGTGAGGCCTGCTCCAGCCACCAGGGGGACTCACTGTGGGAGAAGTCTGGGACTGGGATCGCCTTCAGTTATAGCTGGATCAAGGTGCTCAGAGACCGTACTAGGTGCTAGGTCTGTCTCTCTGCCAGTCTCTCAGGCTTGCTTTCCTTTGTGCTTTATTCGTAAGCAAGCCTCGGATACGGTCACTGTTAGTTTTGTGCTCAGACCTTCCCGGCTTACCAAAGGCAATAGAGAGTTTTCCTTTTCCACGAGGCTTATTGGCCAGTTGTTAAGTCATGTGCCTACCCCTAGAGCCTACTGAACCCTGAAAATTTGGGGAAATTAGAGTCCTCTGACCAAAAGAGGGGGGATAGGAAAAAACCGTCATTGACCATTACACCCTACTAGAGTTCACATCATGTACCCAGGTGCTCCTTACCAAGCTTCTATGCGCCACTCTTTGACTCTTTTCCTTTGTTTTACTTTTTATTTTAATTACATAACTCAGGACTTCATCTTTATATAAGACCCAAATATTGCAAAAGCATACTCCAACCCATTCCTTCCTTTTCTTGCTACTTAAATTTATATTCACAGAGATCGTTTTTTTCCTAATCAATAATGTAATCGTGAGGTACATATTGTTTATACTGATTTAATGTAATCGTGAGATACATATTGTTTATACTGATTTAATGTAATCGTGAGATACATATTGTTTATACTGATTTGCCTCTTTCATAGAGAGCTGTTCAGGACAGAGTGTAGGGGCCGGCCTCATTCCTAATGTGGGTCCCCCACACTAGGGATGCTGCTTAGCCGACCTAGCCGGTCCAGGATTTGCAGCATGAAGTAGCACAGTAGTGACAGCCGTTACTGGAGCAGACAGAAGGGCATCTATAAGGATGCCTGTAAGTGGTTGCTTTCATGGTCATTTTCCAAATCCATCTTTTGGTGGCTCGGTGCTGCTGCCCACTGGGAAGCTGGTTCCTCGTCCATGACTGGGTCGTTCGAGCTACGAGCAGAGCCTGGGGACTGACCCTGCACACAGCGAGGCCCCGCTCACCAGCCTCGCCAGCCTCGCCTGCCACTGACCATCCTCTTTACCCTTGTGCAGCTGCAGAAGGCCGCTGAACCCTGGATCCTGAAGCACTCAGACCTGGAGAAGCAGGACAATAGCTGGAAAGAGGTGAGCGGGGTAGCAGGCCATTCGTGTTCTCTTGGCTCCTGGCTGCACTGCCAAGTCCCTCACTTGGGGATGTGACGGAGAGGAGGCTAACTCTGTCCCACAGGTTGCCCCCTTGCATTCTGGGCTCCTCAGTCCTGGGATCTCTACCCCATCGTTGCAGCCGATGGTTGGGGACTTATGAGGAGCCATCTGTCAGCTCCGTCCTCCCACACCCGGGAGAGAGGCGGCTGTCTCGGTGCTCTTGGCCAGGTGCTTGCTATCTCTTGGTTTCAGCTGTGCCTTTCTGCAAAGCGAGGCCGCTGAATAGCTGTGTGGTCTTGAGCGAGTCACTCTCTCCCTCTCTGGGCTCCGGTTGCCTCCGCGGTAAAATGAGAATCACATTCTCTGCTTTAGCCCACCCTCTCTTTGGAGACCAGTTAGGTCACTTTGGTAAAATTTGCTCCTAAGCCTCAGAGGCCTTGTCCACATAGCAGCGTTCTCAGTGACCAAACAGTGGCCGTAACAGCTCTTTGCTCAGGACAGCCCGAGGAAGTGGTGTGTTAGGAGATGTGATTGCAAGCCACAAACGCTAACTGTGAGGAACTGAGGTAGGAGAGGATTTAATTGGGGCTCAAGAGGGCTGGTGATGCAGGTTCAGAAAAACGGGTGCAAGTGCCAGGGGACCTGCTCTGGAACCAGGGGGAGACCAGCCCTGAGCAGGAACCTTGAGGTCACTGCTGTCACCGCCATCTGAACCGTGGCCACCGTCTCCTTTGCTGCTGCCGCCACATTCAGAATAACTTCTAAAAAGACTCTTTCCCTGGGGTTCTCTCTCGGAGCTCTGATTGGCCAAGCCTGGATCACATACCCACGGAAGGAGTGTTAGACCCACTATAGCCAGAAACTGACCAACAGGCATTCCAGATCAGTGCTGACCTCACTCCTGCCCTGTAAGAGGAGACTCAGGCGTGGGATCCCGGGTCAGCTCTTCCGCTGACCTCCTGTCCCCTTCCCTCGGTACGCTGGTGGCCAGAACTCACCCTTCCTGCCTCTCTTTCTTGACAGACACGGAATGAGAAGATTCTCGACAAGGAGGCGGTTTCTGAAGCTGACCTTGGGGGCACCGCCTTAAAAAGGTGCTAGCATCCCCCCCCCCCCCCCCGCCCTGCCCGGCAGCCCCTCCCCTGCCTCGCCCTTCAGGCACCTCTCCCTGCTCCACCCCTTTGCCTGTCCTCTTTTCCTCGCCCCATGTGCCCACCATGGCACCTCAGCAGAGCTGGGAGAGCCCTGGGATATGGTTTCTATGGAGCCAAAGCCCCTCAGGAGCCGGGAGGCTTGGGACAGTGAGAACTGCAGCCCGTGATTTTTCTTGTTTGTTTGATTGTGGACATGCATGAAAACCCGGGGCTCCGTATATCCTCGCTTTGAAAGAAACTGTTCAGCTCCTCTTGGGGTTCCTTCTCCCTGCATCTGGAGTTAGGGGAATGCAGGCTGGGTTTCCGTTCCTGGGATTACTGAGCAGCTTACTCTGGGCCCGGCCCTGCGCTATGGCCAGGGAGACCCCGGGGCTGTCGGGGCCCTGTCTCCACTGTTAGGAAACCCATGAATAGAATGAGGGCGACAGAAGCCCATCAGAGCCATGAGAGCAACCTCAGGCCAGGAGGGCCAGGGTAGGAGGGTGGGCTCTGGAGTCAGAGGGTGGGGTTTGAACTCCCGCTCTGCCATTTCCAGGAGTGTGACCTTGGCTGATACTTGATATCTCTCTCTAGTGGGGATAATAGGAGCTATCTACTAGAGTTACTAGAGGGCCGAATGATCTGGCTCTGAGATGTACTTACGTCCGCCTGGCACTTTTGGTCATCAGGCAACATGTGCCAGGTCTGTGCCAGAGATTTAGTGACACCTTATTTGGGTTCCCCCAAAAGCAAACACAGGATTCGAGAACTTGTCTCAAAGATCTTGAGACAAGGATCTGAGTGCAAATGGTTTATTTGGGAAGGGATTTGGGAAACACTGGAAGTGACCCGAGGAAGGGAAGGCAGCCAGTAAAGGGGGATGTCGTCATTCTGTGGACAACCGAAGCTCGGTTTCACTGAGGAACTCTGGGAGCCAGAGTGGAACGTGCCACGCAGAGTTCTCCCACCCAAGGATCAAGGAGGCTGGGTATTGAGCCACCAGATCCGCCCATTGTTTGTTGAGGTCTGTGTCTAGGGGCCAAACTCTGTGATATTTGTCGCTTCCTCTGCGTGGAGGCCAAGTGTGCTCTTGCAGTCACAAGAAAGCTTAGGCGGAGAATAGCAGGTGTGCAGAGTGTGCTGTGTTGGGTACGTAGGTGCAGAGGTGCCGAGGCGGGATGGGGGAGGGCACCAACAGCATCTTCCACGAGAGGCGAGCAGGACGGGCGTGGTCCCAGCTCTTGTGCAATGTGTGGGCCAGGGAGGAAGACCAGAGCGCCTGCCCCTTCTCTGTTTTCTCCCACTAACACTGCTCTTCCCTCCTCCGCTCCTCCCAGGACCAAATCTGTTTCCTCCATGTCTGAGTTTGAAAGTTTGCTTGACTGTTCCCCCTACCTTGCCGGGGACGCGGCCCGCGGTAAGAAGCTGCCCAACAACCCTGCTTTTGCCTTTGTGGGCACCCAGCCGGTGGACCCGGAGAAGGATGCCCAGGAGCAGCCAGGGCTCTCGTCGCGGGACTGCAACCACCTGGGCACCCTGGGCTGCCAGGAGCCGGCGGGGAGGCAGATGCAGCGCAGCTACACGGCCCCCGACAAGACGGGCATCCGTGTGTACTACAGCCCCCCGGTGGCCCGGCGCCTGGGCGTCCCCGTGGTCCACGACAGGGAGGGCAAGATCATCATCGAGCCCGGCTTCCTCTTCACCACGGCCAAGCCCAAAGAGTCGGCTGAGGCCGACGGGCTGGCCGAGAGCTCCTACAGCCGGTGGCTCTGCAACTTCTCACGGCAGCGCTTGGACGCAGGCTCGGGGGGCAGCCCGTCGGCGCCAGGGCCTGGCTTCCCAGCGGCCCTGCACGACTTTGAGATGTCTGGCAACATGAGCGACGACATGAAGGAGATCACCAACTGCGTGCGCCAGGCCATGCGCTCGGGCTCACTGGAGAGGAAAGTGAAGAGCACGTCCAGCCAGACGGTGGGCCTGACCAGCGTGGGCACGCAGACCATCCGCACCGTCAGCGTGGGCCTGCAGACCGACCCCCCCCGCAGCAGTCTCCACAGCAAGAGCTGGTCACCCCGCAGCTCCTCGCTCGTGTCCGTGCGCAGCAAGCAGATCTCCTCCTCCCTGGACAAGGTGCACTCGCGCATCGAGCGGCCATGCTGCTCCCCCAAGTACGGCTCGCCGAAGCTCCAGAGGCGGTCAGTGTCCAAGCTGGACAGCGCCAAGGACCGCAGCCTCTGGAACCTGCACCAGGGCAAGCAGAACGGCTCGGCCTGGGCCCGTTCCACCACCACACGGGATAGCCCCGTGTTGAGGAACATCAACGATGGGCTGTCCAGCCTCTTCAGTGTGGTGGAGCACTCGGGGAGCACAGAGTCTGTCTGGAAACTGGGCATGTCCGAGGCCCGGGCCAAACCCGAGCCTCCAAAGTATGGCATCGTGCAGGAGTTCTTCCGTAATGTGTGTGGCCGGGCGCCAAGCCCCACCTCTGCGGCAGGGGAGGAGAGCACCAAGAAGCTGGAGCCCCTCTCCCCTGCCAGCTACCATCAGCCAGAGGGCATGGCCAGGATCCTGAACAAGAAGGCAGCCAAGTCAGGCGGCAGCGAGGAGGCCAGACTCTCGGTGCTCCCCCAGGTGGGGAAGGATGGTGTCCCCCGGGAGGGAGACGGAGCCACAGCCCTTCCCAACGAGGTAGGTGGGTGGGGTCTACTCTTCTTCTTGGGGTAGGGGAGGTTGACTTGTAAGGTCCAAACTCTCTTGGCTTTCAAACTCAGGAATATGGTTGTGTGTTTCAAAAAGTCCTTTTGCTGGTCTGGAATAGGGGTTTGGGGGGGCGCCTGGCTGGCTCAGTCGGTAGAGCATGTGACTCTTGGTCTCAAGGTCATGAGTGCAAGCCCCATGTTGGGCATAGAGCCCACTTAAAAGTAAATAGATAGATAGATACAACGGGGGTTAGAAGACTCCCAGACCTGGAACAACAGCCTGATGGGCACAGGGTCTGAATACCAAGAGGCGAGTGAGTGAGGCTTAACCAGCTGCTTTGCCACCACACACCAGAGATTGCTAGCATCCCCTCCAGGGAAGAGGTGTCCTCACTGCTCTCCTGCATTGGTGTGCTGGAGTCGATGAGAGCTAATCGTGTGCATCTCTGTGTTCAGTAAAACACCTTGGCACCTTGAGAGTGGCCACAGTGGGAGGATTTACACCATGAAAATTGACAAATGCTCCAAATCAGGGCTTCTCCCTTCATTCCTGGAAAACTAGTTATTAAACATTTTCCAGCACACCCCTGCCCCCCTCCCAAAACTCTGTGCCTAAGCGCTTCCATTTTCTCCGAGAATCTTTTGCTGTACACCCCACTCCTGATATCACTCAGTTTCAGATTTGGTTAAGGATTATTTGCATGTTAGTGAAAGAATGCATATAAGTTAGTTTTCCAGAAAGGGAAATGGTGGAGTATCTTATGGATCCCAAATGCAAGGACCTGAAGGTCTCAGACTTCTCTGTCTCCCTATCGTTTCCCTTGAGCTTTGTTTTCTCTGATGTCTGCTTTCTTCCCCTCTCTCTGCTGCATTTGCGTGAATGGTCCCAGCTCTGCTTTTATAATAGCTTCTAATTCAAGTACCTAAGAGAGACTGACTCAGATCCCTCTGTCCCAATTCCACATTCCTAGAAGAAAGAAGAAACTGTGATTGGTCTACCTTGAGTCCAGTGTACCCCCATGGTCTGATCAGCTGTGGTCAGGGGTGGTATCATGTGGCCTGTGGTGCACTCAGTAAAGGTCATAGGTGGGGATGCAGAGAGGTGGCGTGGGCTAGGACTGACCCATTTGTATGTATTGTATGTTTAGGTGGTTTCTAGATTTTCTCTATCAGGCATAATGATGTGGTGGACATCTTGGTGCAAAAATATTTGTCCACATTTTGGATTATTTCCTTAGGTTTAAGTTGCAGAAATGGGATTATAGGCTAACAGAATATAAAAATTTTAAAGGTATTTGATAAATATTGCCAAATTGTTTTTTTTTAAAGCTTAAAAGAAATTTTTTTATTAGCTTCAGAAGTAGAATTTAGTGATTCATCAGTTGTTACAACACCCAGTGCTCATTACATCAAGTGCCCTCCTTAATGCCCATCACCTGATTACCCCATCTCCCACCCACCTCCCCTCCAGCAACCCTCAGTTTGTTTCCTGGAGTTCAGCGTCCCTTATGGTTTGCCTCCCTCTTGATTTTCATCTCTACACACATATGTACACAGACACACACACACACAGCCCGTTGGTTCTGTTTCTCTAGATAACCCTAATACAGTGGGTGTATTTAGTCTATGAGAATTCAGCAAGATGTATTTTTATGATACGTTCAGTATGTACATTAAACTGGAAGTTTTTTTAAGTATAGACAGCTGGTTGAGAGTATAGAGAAATAAAACATTAACCACAGGGGCGCCTGGGTGGTTTAGTCAGTTAAGCATCTGCCTTCGGTTCTGGTTGTGATCCTGGGGTCCTGGGATCAAGCCCCATGTTAGACATCCTGATAAGCGGGGAGCCTGCTCCTCCCTCTCCCTTTGCCCTCCCCCCCCCGCTCATGCTCTCTTTCATATGCACTGTCTCTCTCAAATAAATAAATATCTTAAAAACAAAACAAAAACAACACTAACCACATATTACTAGAGGCTGTAGAAATTGGGCAAACTCTTTTGAAAGACAGTTTGATGGGGCACCTGCCTGGCTCAGTCAGTGGAGCATGGGACTCTTGATCTCAGGGTTGTGAGTTTGAGTCCTTTGGCTATACTCAAAAAAAATTTTTTTAACCAATAGGTTATATGTACGTGTGTGTGTGTGTGTGTGTGTCTGTATACATGTGTTTTTATAGAGAGAAACAGATTTATTATAAGGGATTGGCTTCCACAATTACAGAGGCTGACATGTCCTAAGATCTATAGGGTAAGGTAGCAAGCTGGAGACCCAGGAGAGCTGCTCCAGTCTGCTCCAGTCTGAGCTCAAAAACCTGAGAACCAGGAGAGCCAGTGATGTCATTCCAGGACAGCATATGTAGCTAATGTAGTTCCAGTCCTAAGGCCATCAGGCAGGAAGAAGTCTTTCTTATTCAGGGAAAGTCAGCCTTTTGGTCTGTTCAGGCCTTCAACTGATTAGATGAGGCCCACCCACATTGGAGAGGGCAATCTGCTTTACTGATTTAAATGTTAATCTCATCCAAAAGCAACCTCACAGAAACTCTCAGAATAATGTGTGATCAGATATCTGGGCACCCTGTGGTTCAGTCAAGTTGACACAGAAAATTAACCATCATACCCATAGAACCATGTACATAAAGAGACAAATATACAAGCTGGCTGTATTTTGAATGTTGATTTTATTTTATTTATTTTATGTATTTATTTTTAAAGATTTTATTTATTTATTTGATAGGGAGAGACATAGTGAGAGAGGGAACACAAGCAGGGGGAGGGGGAGAGGGAGAAGCAGGCTTCCCGCTGAGCAGGGAGCCCGATGTGGGCCTCAATCCCAGGACCCTAGAATCACGACCTGAGCCGAAGGCAGACGCTTAACGGCTGAGCCACGCAGGTGCCCCTGAATGTTGATTTTAAAGTTGATCCAAATTTTTTTCAGTATGTAAAATGTGCATGTTACCCATTGACCCAGTAGTTCTTCTAGGAATGTAGCCTATGGAAATATTCACAGAGGTGGGAGAACATTGTATCAATAAATGTATGGCATTATTAATAAAAATTACTAACATTTACTGAATACTTAATAGGCACTATGCCAAGTGCTTTGCATATCATTTTTTATTTGAACCTCACAACAATTTTGAGAAAGGTATCATGTCCTTCATCTTAGAAGGAAATCAAGGTTCAGAGAGGTTAAGTAACTTACCCAAGGTCACACAGCTGGTAAGTGGCAGGGCTGGGATTTCAACCAAGCAATCTAGTTCTGTAGCAGCACTTTTAACCATTATTGCTGGTGTGTTGATAATAGTAAAAAATGAGAAACTACCTAAAATGCACATAAAACATGAATTGGATAAATAAATTAAGGTATTTCCATTCAGTAGAGTAGTATATAGCCACTAAAAAGAAGGAAATCTAGGTATACATAGTGACAGAAAAGTGTTTGTTTTGCAGTTATGAAATAGGCAGTAGGAGATGATGTCATTTTGATAAATGTATGCTTGTGCAATGTTGAGAATTTATCTTTGATGGACAATGTCCACTTTCTTCTCTGTATATTCCAGAATTCATTACATTCTGAAATGTTATTTATGAATATTTATTATTGTTCTAAGAGGAGAAAGACAATTTTATTTT